GCAAAGCATGTCTTTCTAACTGCTCACAGATCAACCATTTAATTATCTGTTCTGGGACATTTCCTGGCATTGACGTCAAGCTGACTGGTCAGTTGTTACCTGGGTCTTCTGTCCCCACCACCACCTTTTTGAAAATGGGCACAACATTTGCCCACCTCCAGACTGCAGGGACCTCGCTTGTTCTTCTAAAATTATCGCAACAACTCTGTGAGGCAGGTTAGACTGAGAGACAGAGAAGCCCAAAGTCACCCAGTTAGCTTCATGGCTGAGGGGGGATTTGAACCCTGGTGTCCCAGATCCTAGTCTGACCCTCACACCTAGGAGTTGGGAACTGTTGGTCCACCATACGTTGTTGAACTATGTCTCCCATCAGCCCCAGCATGCATGGCCATTGGCCAATGGGCATGGGGTGTTGGGAGTTGTAGCTCAGGAACACCTGTAGGGTCAAAGGTTCCCTACATCTTCTCTAACCACTACACACACTGGCTATTGACCGGAATACATAAGATTGAACATGCAGAAATTGGGTGGCTGTGACTCCCATGTTACAAAGAACAGTGTTTTATTTGATGGGGTCTCAGAGGACAAAGATCTATTTGACAGAGCCCTCTATTTGAAGTATTGTCTGCTCCAAGTCCAATTTAAAGATAAGCAACTCTCAGAAAGGAGAGCAGTTGCTTTGAATTTTCCCACCAACAGCTAGCAACTGGACAGCAAACTTAGCAGGCACAAAGGTCAGGGGGCCACAGTCTTCTCCAGTATGACAAGATGTTTTATATTTCTATCTTCTCCAGTATGACAAGATGTTTTATATTTCTAACAAAATTGTAGCCACAATTTCTAAGCTTACATCTGTATATGAGAATATGCAAATTTTAGGCAAATTATTGCCCTCTCTCTTGACGATGTGTAAATGGCCACCTTGTATGACAAAGGGGCCCTGCTCTCCCTTTAAGGTACTCAGATTCTCATGCAATTTAGGGCATGAGTTCGTTGGTTGATTTGGCACCTCACTGCTGCAACTGGCACCTACATTTATGCTTTGGAAGACCGCCGAGGCGATACTTTAGCCAGGAACTGAAACATGTGTGGGTCAGTGGCTCTCTGCCTAATGCAGCCTCACTTTATTGGTGCACTGTAAAAATGACTGGGGTCAGTCTGTTAAAAAAAAAAAGCCCAAATTGATACCAAGTTTATTTTCTCCTGGAAACTGCTATAAAACACATAAAACAATGTGAAATAAATCTATCCTTTCCTGCAAAGCAGTATGTTGCTTTTTGAACGCCAGCTTTATGTAGCAACATGACATCTACTCATCAACAATATTTTAGGAGCTCGTTGAAATAATGAAATAGCTTCCATTAGATCCATTAAATTTTTTATAAATTATACCTGCAGTTTAGTCCATTAAAGTGAGAAGTGATGAGTTGCTCTTAGAATATCAGTTAGACCTTCCCAGAGAACATTTAATTATTCCATTCAAGAGTTTGTTTATTTTATTTTTATTTTTATTATTTTGCATAGCTCTGTGTACTTCTACTTAGTTCTTTAATCAGAATGAGTGTGACTCTTTCTTATAAACCAAGGGTGAGCAACCTTTAATCTGTTGAAGGCCACATTAAGGGAAAACCTGTCACGGGCCCCATGGCAGCAGTCATGACATGATAACAGGAGACAGAATCTAAGATGACAAATGTGTTCTGGATTAGGAGTAGGATTGCAGAGGCAACCCTTCATGGGCTACACAGTCAGAGACGGTGAGACTCAGTTTGCCCAAACTGTGGTTTAGCATGACTATGTGAGTTCCCAGAGAGGATGCTGAGTTCCTCCCACAGTCCTTCAGCTGCTGCACCAACCAGGGTTATGTCATGGTTTGGCTCAACCCATCATCTCCTCCAGACAAACCATATGCTGTAAGCTAAGAACAAACTTTCAGATTTTTGGACCCATCGCCACCAGCCAGCGTGGCCAATGATCAGGTATGATAGGGGTTATAGTCCAAAACACCAGGTTAGGAAAGTTTGGCCTATGGTGATCCATTCCAACCTTCTCCTTTCAGGGACTGGCTGGGTGAGGAAGAGTGGTGTGTGCCGCCTGCCCAAGCACCCTCCAGGCACGACTCAGAGGAAGAAGACTTAGACCCAGGAGAGTGGTAGTAGGATCCTGGAGACCAGTAGGAGGAGGGAACAAGCTGGGAAGTGGTAGAAGCAGGAAGCATGAGTGAGCATGGGGAGTCAGAAGAAGAAAGCCATTCAAGGACAGTGGGGTTGCTGAGGGTCTCATTGTGAGCACAGACTCTGAAAGAGAGGACAGAGAGGAGCCAGGGACTGTTTCAGTTTCACAGGAATGGGCTGGACACTCTAGAGCAGCCTTTCTCAACCTGTGGGTCCCCAGATGTTGTTGGACTACAACTCCCTTCATCCCTGAGCTCTGGCCTTGCTAGCTAGGGGTGATGGGAGTTGTAGTCCAACAACATCTGGGGAACCACAGGTTGAGAAAGGCTGCTCTAGAGCGAGCTCTCCTCCCCTCACACTGAGAACACGAAGAGCATTGCACATTGCTGAGCAATGGACCAGACAGGCCCAGAGGGGGGTCCCTCCTTCTCACTGTAGCTTACACCTGCCTGCGAGGTTTAGTCTATTTGAACTCTGTTGTGTTCTGACTTTTTTTAATGAAAAAGTTGGTTGTACTTTGAGTCTCAATCTTCCCTCTGACCTGTGCCTTCCTCACAGCCCTAACATCTCCCCTCCTACCAACCCAGGAAAATGCTGAAGAAATTGACCAGGAGTACATCCATCCACTTTAGCTAGCCTTAAATTTCCATTTCCACAAGTTTGTTTCAATACATCCAAGTGAACAAATAGGGTAATTATAATCTATTAAGAAATGTGCTTGCAAAACATTATTGGCTAATTCATTTTTCTTTTCTTTTTTTTATAGGCAATCAAGTGAGAAACTAGAAATAATTTAATATATTATTGTAAGGTTAGTCGCACTCCCATAAACAGTTGTACAGAAGACTGCAAAATCAATTGCAGAAATAAACGCATTTGCAATTAAAGTTTAGAAGAGTATGTAAAACAAGCTCTTTTACTCCTCACAACTCTTTAAATCAAACTGACTCACGCTATGGCTAAGGAGAGAAACCTTCATTTGTCCTCAATCATGGGTTTGGCCTCAGATATGTTATTCCCCAGCCCACCCCCCTGCCTAGGTAGAGTCTGGGGAAAGTCTGAGGGAAATGCTATTTTTGCATGTTTCAATCATCCTTTAGAATATGGTAGTTAATGAAGTACCCTCCACATGTTGCTGAACTCCCATAAAGTCCAGCCAGGGTTGGGTGAATTTCTCAATTTCAGTTTGTCTGAGTTCCACATTTTTCCAATATTCAGTTACCTATCTTTTCACACCAGTTAGCTTTAACGAACAAACAAACAAACAAACAAACAAACAAACAAACCAGTCCTCTTGACAATTTAGCAGCATTTTATGTGAATTTCTTCTGTCAACATTTTTATATGCAATTCCCAGTAACATACACATTTTTGCAAAGTACTTTCCTACAATATAATGCATTTTATTATGTTATTTTCACCAATATGTGCATTTTATACCCTAGTATATACTTTTTTCTTTTTAAGCACTGCTTGGCTGGCCAACTGAATTGCAAAATTTGGCAAAGTGCAAATTTTGAAGGATGTCTGTGCATTGTTTCAGGAAGTGAAAATTAGATATGTTAACATTTACAAGTGAAGTAAATTGAATCCACCACCCACATTCCTAAGCCCAGACAGCATGGTCAATCATCAGAGCTGATGGGAGTTGTAGTCCACATCATCTGCAGCAGCTCTAACTGCTTTAGAAAATCTGATGACCCTTGGGGTCCCTTGCAACTCTACACTTCTGTGATTCTTGGTCTTCATGACTGATATCTTTTTTAAAAATTCTCACCTTAGTTAACTTAAACACAGCAGAGTTGTTGTGGAATAGAGGAGTACTCAAGCCGCAATGCCAAGGGCTACTGTTGCTGATTCATGAGCTCTGGGACTGGGATCAAGCTTGAGAAGATACACAGGGGAACCAATTGAACTGCTGTTTTTCCTCAGCAGCTTGTTGGACCAGGCCAACCCTTCCCCCAATTCCCTTTCATTTCCCCCCAATAAGTTTCCAGGAAAGAGGAGGTGGTACTTATCAATGAGAATGCCTGGAAGAGAAAGTTGCCACTGTAATTTTTAAAAAGTGTCAATCACGTCAAGCTTCTATTCTCCCCAGGATAAACACAGATCTATCAGAATAATGGTGGGTTTGGTATTTTGTCTGCTGTGTTTACAGAGTACATGTGTCATTCTTAGCTTACCAGATAAAGGTTACTGCTAGGAACAAGGTTAGCTGTCCAGAGACAGAGGGAAGCGCTATCCTGAAAATAGAACAAATGAAAAATTAGAATTCATAATAAGTCTCATTATTGTGACAATGATTTTTTTTTATTCGTACATCTTTTTAGGTTGATACTTTTCATAGCATAGAACCACTTCCGACTGAAAAAGAAAACTCTGATTACAAGAAAGTACAAGTCTTGAACCAAAGCTCAAAATTACTCAGATTAAAATGTTCCTCAAACAAGCCTATTTCAAAACTCCTATGGGGTCAAAAATCTCTATTTGCTGCATTATTTTACTGTCTATTGCAATCCTTTGACACACACACACACAATTTTAAAAGCCTTTAAAAGCTTTTATTTCTTCCCCCTTTAAATCAGAGCCATGTAGTCTTTTAGACACTATTCTGTGCAAAAAATATCTACCAGTTTTTTCAAGTTCTACAGACAGAAGTCAAGGCCAAAGTCAATACAACCTATTTATTCATTATGAATCTATTTGTTGTATTTCTCTAAGGAGTTCAAGGCGGCTTACATGTGTCTACCCCTTATCGTTTGACCCCACAACAACGCTTTGAGGTAGGGTAGGTTGAGTCACTAACTGGCCCCAGGTAATTCAATGAGCTTCATGGCTGAGGATTTGAACCCAGGTCTCCCAAGTCCTAGTCCGACACACTAACCACTATGCCACACTGGCTTTCTACACTTAGGGAGACTCACAGGAGTGTTATTCATATGACAAGTTGAACTGCTGATTAAAAAATACTTGCAACTTAAGGGATATAGGTGGCACTGAGGAAAAGATGATGCAGTACAGAGTGCTTTGTTTCCATGTGTCTGCCAGCCAGCCAACCAGCCAGCCATGCCTTATTTCAGGATACTCCATTCCATTCCTCCCTAGTTTACCACCACCACTCCAAAACCGTTCTATGCCAAATGTGCATGTTCAGTTCTCACTGGGCTCAGTTTTGGTCCACCCCTTCCCCACCAGCAAAGAATGTTTGTACTTTGTCAAATCCCCCAAGTCTGTGATTATCTTTCATTTGTGTGTAGATGATATCATTTTGGCAACATAACTATCCACGTTTCGTTAACGTGTCTGCTATTAGCATATGAGTTTTACACAGGAACAGTGCAAATGTGCATGCAGACATACAAAGTTTACAGAGTCCTTGATGAGCCATCTTGCCTGGCTGATAGTGGGCAGGACTGCCTTTCAGCAACTCTATGATGTAGGCCATTATTACTATCCTATACTACAGGTGGAAGTCAGAAGCTGAGAAATAGTGCCTTGCCAAAGGCAACTTAGCAAGTTCTTGTCAGAGGTAAGAGAAATGAACCCAGAGCACATTTCAGCTCATAGGAGACGATTCTTTGTGTACAGCTGCTGTAGAATTCTACAGCAGTTAAAATAGTACAAAAAAAAGGTATAATGGAAATCTCTCTGCTAATATACTAACATTAGGAGTTTAGGATGCAATGTAATTTTAAAGATAAAATTTAAAGTACTGGATTTATGGTTTATATGACTTAGTACTTCTGGTTTTTGTGTCATCAACAGCCAATCTATATTATGCTCAGTTGCATAATACAAATATCCTTGGGACTATACCATTCCAGGTTGTGGGACTGCATAATTAAATGTTCTTCCACATGAAAATGACACAGAGCACACAGAGCTAGCCTGACTGGGAGAAGGCTCTTGGCTCCTTTTCCTCCATGACCTGCTGTAGTTTCTACATTCAGAAACACCCCCCCCCCCAATTTGGTTCAAAATTCAGTGCCCCATCATCAGTTTGAAACTATAGAGCCTTATGAACTCTCTACCACATTATTTATCTGGACACGAAGATTGACTTTGTATACACCATCCATGAGCACAACCTCATAAGCAACAATGACACCCCAATGTGATGAGAGCACAGGAGATATAGATTGTAGGCTATATATAGAATGCAAATACATTTAAGCACTCTTGCCATTTTGCTTTGCCCTTACTGTGCAAAGACAAGAAAAGGCACGGCTTGCACCACCCCTTTCCTATAGCCCCTGTGCTAACAAATAACTGTGAGGGTTGGCTAATGCAAACTACTGCAGCGATGCAGCCTTAGAAACCATGGATGCCATCCAGTGATAATGCCCCATCTATATGGTTCAGTAAGGCCAGTCCCTGGGATTTATGCAAACCCTTTTTAAATGAAAGTAGGAGTAGTTGTTGGCTTGTGTTTCATGTTATGTTAGTTTTAAGGCATATCACAGCAGCAGCAACCCACTCATATATGCAACTCCACAACCTCCAACCAGTAGTGAAATCACAGGATGACTTTGGAGACACAGCTTAGACTCTAATCCTAGCCATGTCTGTGGATAAATAGATCTTAATTCTATGGGGCTTATCCGCACTGGCTGAGGAAGAGGGGGTGGGGGCAGCGCACCACCACCGGCAGCGCGATCCTGTGGGGTTCCATCGCAGCTGCCCCCCCATGCTGGGCACCCTGCCCCCAGAACGCATGCCACACCCCTTTGGGCAGTGCGCCTCACCCCCACCTGCTCTCTGCCCCTGGTGCCAGAGCATGAAGCTCCACCACTGCTTACCCCCAGTTTAGTGGGTCAGGACTGCAGCCTCCTCCTTTCTTTTTAAGAAGTCAAAACAATCCTTTACCATCTTTTCAAATCCACCCCTCCCGGAAAGACGATATTGGGGGAGAATTTTCATCATCACATCTGTTGTTGTTTAGTCGTTTAGTCATGTCCGACTCTTCGTGACCCCATGGACCAGAGCACGCCAGGCACTTCTGTCTTCCACTGCCTCCCGCAGTTTGGTCAGACTCATGTTTGTAGCTTCGAAGACACTATCCAACCATCTCGTCCTCGGTCGTCCCCTTCTCCTTGTGCCCTCCATCTTTCCCAACATCAGGGTCTTTTCCAGGGAGTCTTCTCTTCTCATGAGGTGGCCAAAGTATTGGAGCCTCAGCTTCACGATCTGTCCTTCCAGTGAGCACTCAGGGCACTCGCATCTACAAGCGTGGAAAAAAAATCTGCAGTCCGGCACTAACATGAATGGCCTTAATATGAGCTCATTTAAAACATTTGGTACAGCTGGATGGAGGGGGAGGAGACACAGCTCACCAGGCTTCTGTTTTGCTATGTCTGTTGCTGGGACTGCAAAACCAGAAGGTTCATCAAGCACTTGTGTGAGATCTTTATCTCTCCACCCAAGTCTCCTGTTTTAATAACTCTATTGTTTCATTGCACATTTTGCCTATAGATATTCATATAGATATTCATACATAAATGTTTTCTTATACAATTGTGTATTTTAGCTATAGAAGTTCATATTTTGCTGCTGCTGTGACTTTATACTTCCAAACCATTTAGAGGCCCATTTGGGTAGGAAGCACTATGCGAATTAGTAAATAATTATTATGTATAGTGGTTCATGTGTTGTCTGGTGTACTGGAATTTATGCAATTCGTTCTTTTCCATTGTTTTTAATGTAGTTCCTAAAACTATTTCTGCAGAGAGGGCTACTGGTGGATGTTCCAGTCGAAGAAGCAATTGGTAAATATTTCAGCACCGGTGTCTTGCTAGTTAAAAGTGCTGCAGAGGCAAATAGCCATCAGAAGTGACATGAAGGCAATGGAATCAATCAGGCTTACTACCCTAGGCAAGCTCAGAGGCAGTGCCAGTGATCTGAGCTGAAACAATGAAGTTTTGTGACTAGAATATTACTGATTTAAACTGCCCAGGGAGCTCTTGTGGGCTTCTGTTGCCAGTAATCCAATATAAGTTTTACTGGCTCATTACTGCCAATTAGATTAGCCTTTTACTTTAAATAAATTATTGAGAGCTGACAGTGAACAATGCAAACTTTTACAAAGTGGAGCATTAATTAGGTGTCTTACTCTTTGTAAACCTCTCATTTTGAAGGGGGCTCAAATAGTCCTATTTTCTCTCATTTCAGAAAAGCATTGCAGTAACAACACAATCACTGTTGTAGAAGAAGAAAACCATTTGATTTAAGTTACTCTTTCAAATTGCCTCTTCTTGCTTAAAATTCTTCTTTGGGAATGTAGGATGGACTAAACTGGCCGGGGTGTGTGTGTGGATTAAACGGTTATGTCATGTTAGCTTAGGTTCTAAATAGATGCACACATTCTTAAATCAAATGATGTTCTTTTTTTAAATGTCTCTTGGGAAACTGGCATGCCAAATCCATTCTTTACGGAAACTGTATTTTGTAATGTTGGTAGTGCCATCTCTCTCACACTTGCTCCCCCACTAAGGGTCAAACTACTCATTATTCTCTGGGAGTGTCTTTATGGTATAGCATAAAGAAAGTTCTGTGTTCAAAACTTCTCAGTAGCAAGTGATGTGACAGACTTCTGACTTAGACCATTTCTTGTTTTATTGGGGCTTGGGTTATGCAACGGAAGAGGTCAATTGAGTAGGGGAAACTCAGGTCCAGCCAGGTTAGTCCACGTATGTCATGTTAAGTTCTGGCTAAGACAAATGGGTTCCCTACTGGCTCAGTCATAGCAGATTCTGATGAGCAGCGATCAGGACCATAGACAGCTCCAAAGCATCCTGTTAGCTGAGCTGTAGAAATATATGTTTATAATATATTGAAAATCAATTTTAAAAATTCTATTTAAAAACAAGCAAAAAAGAAATGTTTGGTGCCTCAGGTAGAGCTTGACCTTCCAGTTACTCCACCTCCCCGGGACTCACTATCATTTTTAAAGGGCCTGTGGCTGATCCTGCAGTCATATGCTCCTGCATGGCTGTGGAGCAGAAGAAGCTATAGGTAAGTTCTCCCCCAGAATCTGAGGAGCATGGGGCAGCTACATCCTCAGACTAGGATGGTGTAAAAGGGGATGGTGAGGGTTCCTTCCAGAGAGGGGGACCCGTAATTCTTCCAAATTTGAATTCTGTTTGAAGCAATGCTGGGACGTGGATGCACGGGACATGACATTAGAGAGCCACTGGTAGCTGGATAAATAGTCTCATCTACTTTGCATGCAGAAACCCCAAGGTTCAATCCATGGCATCTCCAGGTAGGGCTTGGAGAGAATGCTGGCTCAATTACTTCCAGTCAATATTGAGCTTGATGGACCAATGATCTGACTCACAATAAGGCAGCTTCCTGCGTCCCTATGTTGCATGATTTATTTATTATTATTATTTTAAAAAGCAAAGTAATATGTATACTAATCTGGAGACAAAGTTCTTTTGCACTTTTTAAAATACAATTTTATTTCCATGAGCAACTTGGGGCGGGGGGGGGGGGAGGTGAGTTATAAATTTGAAAAAGCAAATAAATGTTCCTTAAAATCACTTCTTCCTACCATATACCATCCCATCACCTATGCTAAAAGCAAATCCCAAAAACTTGGATAGGGTTTTCTTTTCCCCTTCTCTCTCTCTCTCTCCCTCCACCCCCCCCCCCGTCTCTCTCTCTCACACACAAAATTTTAAGCTCTCAATTAATACACTTCTAGGCTGCAAATCTTATCATGTTTATCTTAATTAACCTGCAAAAAAAAACCCTTGCAAAGAGCTTTGTTTTAGATCATCTAACAGTTCAGCTCTTGAATCGCTTATCCAGCACGTCCAAGTTCGTATAAGATTCTTTAGCAAAGAATTCACTGCTTTGTAATACTACAGATAACACTAACTTGTGCATCAGCAAAATGT